ATCCCCTATATATCACTCTTAAGGATTGAGGCTATGGGGTTTCCAACTTTTTGGCTTCTACTGTATATGTTTGGAACACCCGAGGCTACGGTTCCAGCAAGGGCATGCTTGTGCTATCCTCCGGCAAGATGTAGTCGATCGCATCTGTCATCGGCATTCCTTCCGCTATCGGTTGATCGAACTAGAGTTAGGTTGGGGGAGACGATATAATGAGTGAGAGAGCTGGAGTGTTTGTAACTAATACGGAGACAGCTATGATGGACTTACTATTGTTGTCCAGTTTCAGACTAGGAAACATGGACTGGCGCCAGCTCTTTGGCCAATAAGGTGCTCCGAGGCTTTTACATGCGACGCGATGCCACAATCTGCAGCTGACGATTCCCAGTGAATCGATGAGGATGACTTCACTAGCTCCGAATGTACACTGCCCTTTGCAACCACACAAAGCCCGAACATCCCGATTCGCGGTGCATGCGGCGACAATCAACATCTTTAGTGCCCATATATAGTGGTGTTGGTTTCATAGCATTAGTTTGCTATAATTAATACTATAACTCGGAGGGTGTTTAGCTACAGTATGGGCCATGTGGCTACTGGTAGAGGCCATGGTGCTTTGGTACACCATAAAGAACAACTCTAGTTTGTCGAAACCCTGAATTGATTCCCAACCTTAAACTCCCCAATTTCCATTAACCCCTCAAAGCTTGCAGGCGGCGTGCATGTGTCCATATATCTTCAGGGCCATGTGTTCACGCGACTTAGTTACGAAACCATATATGTAAGTCAAACAATTCTACTGGTGGTTATTATAAGGCGAAACTTTAGGGGCAAATCAAAGCCCTGAACTCTCTCTTACAACACCGCTGACATAGCGCATGAGTTATTGGTTATATCTTTTCGCGATACCTCTACATATCCGGCTATAGTTGTTGTACTCTAAAACCCACAAGATTGCCCCCTCGCCTGCAGGTGGAATCACAGTGACGAGCGAAAGCAGGTGCTCTCGAACATGGACCTGAATGAACAAAAACGTCGCCGCTACGCAATTGTTTGAAGTAGCTTTTGGCACCTTCAGGAAGGCGGTGTGTGATCTGCTGCAACTCAGCAAGGGTTTGCGTCATAAGGCCAATGGTCGGTCACTCGAGTCATGATGCAAGACTTATGTATGTGTAGATCTCTTGTGCAGTGCAGCCTTATGCGACGCAGGGTAATGTTGATGGCAGTGTGCGTACACAGCTTTTCCCCTTGCTGTTCAAAGGACAGCAATAATAATTGCTGTGGGGATCGCGATCTTCAGCGACAGGTTTTCGAAAGTTGTCTATGCTTAAGCATACCCTTGCATTACATGATCGATGCAGTCATGGAGATGTGGTCTTTTGTGTTGTGTACATGTGCACAGCTGCCTATTCCTTTGAAGGCCCTAGGCTTACACATACGTGTTGCTCATGTGCAGAAGGGTTTAGGGTTTAGGGTTTAGAACTCCCTATACATATCGTTAATGCAGCAGAAACTATGTCGTACAAAATTCCTAGATCTCCGATTATAATGCTCCCGACAATATTTCAAGATTCTTCGCTCCCTGATCATGAAGTTTTGTCGATTGCTCCCGGCCTTGGCGACGTTGCGGATCAGCTGCTCGGTCATCGTTATTCCTCGGATGAATGCTCAAGTGTTAAGTGCTCGGTTCGGAAAAAGTTAGAGGCTTCGGATAGAGCGCTCAGGCTTTGGCCCCAAACCATGCGATCTCGATTTTCTTGAAGTTTTCGCAGGACCGATATTGTTGCTTGCATTATAACCTAGCAAACTTAAGATTCAGACTTGGCGAGGAGCTCACATGCTGTATTCTGCGGCAGTACACTACGGCTTGAAGGCACACGCTGTGGATGTACCTCAGTTGCTTCTATATCACAACCTATGTAGATGTAAAGAGGTTCGGTGCCGCTATCCCAGGTGGCCTATTCCTCCAAAATGGATATTTTAACGGCATTTGGTTTCTTGGTGTTCTTGACCTCCGCAACTCGGCTTGAAGATATCGCCCCAATTAACTCCTAACACAGCCTTTACGACTTTACGATCGAAACACCATCAGCCATACATCTTGTTTGCTGATTGATGCCACTGAAACAAATACCTCCAACCCTACACGTATAGTCCCAAAATCACCTATGTATATCGGCTCTATATCCCATAAACCCGATCTCCTAGCTCGACAACCCCAAATCCTTAAGTCCCTTGCCTGCGGCCCGGGCCGCAGTCTGATAAGTATCTCTGATTGTAGCTGTCAGACAAACTTAGGCCAGACGGCTTCGTCCCCAAGGAGTCGCATGGTATGCTGTGCCCTGTAGCAGTTGGATATTCATGAGCTTTGGCGGCGAGAAAGATTTGTCGAAACTTGAGCACTATTACATCGGTGTTGCGAGCATAATACCTAGGAGTCGCAGGTCGTCGAGGCGGCGACGATTGAATGTCAAAGGCCCTGCAACGTAGATTTGAAAGTGATGGATAAGACTAGTATGTCTGACCTAATGGCATTGCGAAGGCGATCCGAAGTTTGACAAAGTGAACCGGGCGAATCGCCTGGCAAGACGAGTCGCATACTTGTCTCTCGTCTGCACCTATATGGTACCTCGGCTTCAAGCTTGAAATCGAGAGCTTTGCTTAATGCATTCAGGATGGAATATCACTTCCGCTCTGGCTCTTACTACGTTCTCGAGAACCCGAGCGGCTCCATGTTATTTGAGATGCCGTGTATTCGAGTGCGCCGACTTGAAGATTAGTTCATGCAATGCATATACTCGTCGCTACCCTGCCACCGGACCTGAGGCCAGACTTCGAGCACACAAAGCGAAGGGGGTGAACCTGTGTTTAGGTGCCGTGGGGGCACCATCAAAGAAGTGTGTCGCTTGCATGACATATGACTCAAAGAAAGTGACCCAATGCATATTGGCAGCCGGTAGCCCTCTAAGCCCTTCTAAAGAAACCCGTGGCAACAATACACAGACCCCCTATATTCTCGCCAAGGTTACACTATGGGGGACCGCGCCGTTCCTGCCGAAGCTGTATGAACAACTGACCGGATCAAGGAGGCATCGTTCGAACTGGGTTAAACTAAATTGTATGTATAAACCAATTTGTTTCAGGTACACTCCAGTCTATACCAACCTAGGCAATTTAATAGCAAGTTACGTATGACGACTATCAAACCGAGGACCTGGCAAGCCATCCTATAGTGCACTGGTTGGCATCTAGCTACCGAGCGAGCTTTCTGTTTCGGTGGTGAACTTCGTAGACTAACTATTACCTAACCAACTCGCCCACTGACAAATTTGCTATAGAATGCTTTCCTGGTGCGATGTCACTCATGTTTTCGAGGCACATGAAGCCCTGCCATATAAGCAACTAGCTAGGTAAATAATATCCGAACCTGCTATCGTTCGGACCCTAAATATAAAGTTCTGAGCTAAACCCATTTAAATAATAAATAAGTCACTCACAACTGTATAAATCTACCAATCCCAAGCAGCTAAGTTATAATGATGCGTGAAATTATCATACTCAATTATATAGCCAACTAACCCCGTGACCTCAGTAACGAACTAAACTATAATCTAAAGTAACCTGACTTTAGATAGGCTAAACTGAACCAGACCAACCAGCTCATACTAAGATCAGCTAGCTACAACTAGCTATACAGGGTGCACGGTGTCAATGTTATCAGAGATCGAAAGGGGTGTTGTTTGGTGAGCTGGCTCTCGCTCCGAGAGAGGGAGAGAGGGAGAGACACCGAGCCAACGAACAAATGAACGAAATATGAACGAACCTGACCAACTATATCCCTATGTACCTATCGATCAACAAGTACTTATCTAACTCATTTACAAGCCGACTGACAATAGAATAAGTTAGCTCGTAGGACAACTATACTCAGTATGTCGAGCGACATTATGCCAGGAAAACGCAATGGCCCCGGTTGTAGTACAGTTAGCCAATGCTAGCTAAAACTAGTCCACGAACTAGAAGTACAAGGGGGGATTTCAATGTGCAATCCAGGCACTTGATTGCACGTTATTAGTTCTTTCTTTGTATGCATGCACGTGTGTGTGTGTGTATGTATAGTATGCACGCATGCGTGCATGCATGTACGTATGTAAGCAAGGTGTATGTTTCCGTGAGTGCACTACAGATACATTATCGAACGAGTCACGATATGCACGATCTATGTATGTAACCGTGGGGTACTATAACGAAAACATTCACAAACTTGAGAACCGAGACTGAGTACAACCGTGTCTTAATTGCGCAGGGTGCAGCTGCGACGCATCCAGAGCTTCCTCAAGATGGATATCAGCCGGGGTTACACGGATCCAAGCGGCCGCCATCGTCGAGTGCCCTGGCCATCCTGTCGGTCTTTTCTGGCTTCTGTAGCAACACCATTGATACCCAACTATCAACGTATGATCGGTGTTCAGGTTGGTGGTAAAGATTTGACAGCTACTGGTGTCTACCCGGCCACATTCGCGATGAACGCGGCTCGTCTGAAACCACAAAGCTCGGTCACAGTATGTGTCCACTCGATTCCTGTTACGACTGGGTTTAGGGTTTGGGGTTCAGGTTGCGGGCCTATTGGACAACCACTTCAAGACTATGAAACCCAAACCCATGGTCGACGAGCTGGAAATGGAACTGGTCGATGACTCGTGCGATGAAAGCTCTGACTCCGGCCTGGAGAACTTGGTCGGCAATATCTCCATGTGATTTGTCCAGATCGCACCAAGTCCTAAGCTGATGAGCGGCTTGAGATATGGGGTCAGCTGCTAGTTTTGAACAGCCACGAGCAGTTTTGTCGTGCTCATGATAGCAAAACGAACGGTTTGCTAGTGTGATGTGTGTGAACCTAATCCGAAGCAGTACGGAGCACTAGCGTGTATACCCGTGTATCTGCGTGTATTTGCGGGTAAGAACCAGCTATTAGCGTGTATCAGCGTGTATCCCTTGATATACACAATTAGCAGGTCGCGCGGGCCCCGAAGCATCACGATCGAGGATCAAAGTTGGGTATCGTAGCTTGGTTCCGCGCCATGGGTCGTGGGACTGGGTCTAAAGGAAAGAAGGGGAGCCCCGAATCCCATTCGGAAGGTGTGTCTGTGTCGGTGGAAACACGTCCACGGCGCTACGAGTTCGTGGGAAAGGTTCCTACGGAGACCTTAAGTGGCGGCAAAGCCGGCA